CTAATTTTGGTATAACAAAACAACAATGAATTAGTCACCCAATGAACACATAAGAATATTAAGATCGAAGACGCTGAATTTAGTTAAAACCCTTGCAATAAGACTACAAAAATTGAAGCAAAATTGACCAAAGGTTTTAGCAAAAAAAAAAATTTATACAAATTCAATTCTCCGTTACAAACTATCAAACATTGCAGCAAAACCCACCATGGCTTCAACAAATATTGAAGAAACCATTGAGACATTTCAACAAAAATGTTATGTGCAGAAAGGGGGTGGGGCTATGGTTAGCGATGATGGGGTGGCGGTGGCAATGGTATAATGAATGGGGTGGGCTGGTGGCAAAAGGTAGTAGTGGTGGCTTGGGGATGTGGGGTGGGGTAGATGGTGGTAACAAAGCTTTTGGGGGGAGGGGGGATTTGGAGGTGTGTTAATGGTGAATGGGGTAATAGTGGCAGAGGTTGGTCATGGTCGGAGGTAGAGAGAGGGAATTGTATGCGCTAGAGAGGAGGTAGAGTGGGGGAGAGAGATGAAGACAAAGTGAGTGGGAGGGAGAGAGAGAGAGGGCGAATGCCTGAATTTGGGCATTGTTGGTAGTGAGTTGCTGCCTGTGGCTCCATGGTGTCGTCACTAGTGGGGGATCGCAGCTGGTTGAGGAAAAAGAGGTAGGAGAGAGGACCAAAGAGAAAAGAGAGAAGAGAAAGGGTTGTTTAGTTGGGGGGAGAGAGAAAGAGAGGGGGTATGGGGGTGTTAAAATTGGGGCTGGATAAAATTTTGTGATGAATTTTACACTGTTGGATGGAAATGAACGGAGATTAAATCAATCTCAACCGTTGTACTTTTCTAAGTTGTGGAATTCAAAATGAAGTCCATTTTATTATTATTATATTATATTTTATATAATAAAATAACACACCGGTGCATCAAGGCCCACCCTATTTTCTCTTTCCCCGTCCTTTCTCTTTATATATATATACATACATATATGCATTTGTGTGTGTGCGCGTGCACATGCGCATGTATATAAGGGTGTGTGTGTAGTGAATACTTAAAAAAGAGTGGCGCATCCTCTCTCTCCATGGTCAATATGGCCTTTCCCTTCGATTCCTATGTGATGTGAAAGCAATTATTCTACGTTGGAAATCTTGGATAGAACAATGTTTTGAAAAGCTCGCCTAGGCGAGAAGCGAGGCGAGGCGAGCTTATCTCGCCTGGAGGACCCCAGGCGAAGCGAACGTGAGCGAAGCTAGAAAAAAGTGAGAAAAAGCGAAAAAACGAACGCTTTATTATAAGAGGCGATCTGCTCCCCCTTTTTTTTCCTGATCACAAGTTAGTAGTCTCTTTTATTTTTTAATCACTGATGACTTTTTTTTAGACTATCGCTGGTCTATTTTTTTTTTTTTCTAATAAGCAATGTTCCGAACAAAACACATTAATTTTTTTTCCTTGTGTTGCTGAATTCATTTAGAATATTTGTGGGATATGGGAGTCAGGCGACTGCATGACAAAATTATGATAAAGAAAGGAAGCAGGAGTATCAAGAATGGGGGTAAATAATAGAGTCTTCTACAAAGAAGTGTCTCTGATATGTCTTGGTTATGCTTTTCCCTTATATATATACAAATGGTACCAAAAAGTGGTCTATGCTTATACCATGTTTAATTATTTTAGGAGCCTTGGTCGCTTCGGTTCGCTTTACGCCTTAAATAACACTGGGATAGAATATCAGAGGATAATATTGACTTACACAAGCAACTATGCGTTGAAAAAATTATTTTCATTTGCCGAGAAGTTAGCTTGAACAAGTTCTGCTTAAAAAAAACTATTCTTGCAAATACAATAATTAATCGTCAGACCCCAATCTGATAATATCCACACTTAACTTGAACTATAGTCTTGCTAAACTTCTAGTTCTAAAGTTTTTGTACAATTATGGGGGCATCATATTGAGGTTGGAAGTGTTGTGATAGTATGAGAAGCATGTGCACACGGGGTGATGAAAGCTCGAGCGTCGTAGAATCATATCCATGTAATGGTTTTCTTCTAACATGGCAAAATTTGTCGAATGCACATCTGGTGTCCTCATCAAAATGGGAAAAAGTAGACTTGGTTGTTGGTTACCTTGGACATTCCTGTGGAAAATCTCTCTCGTTTAATTCTTTTGCATCATCACCCCATAATTCGTGGATGATGCATGAAAATCGTTGGTTATAAGATTTGCACTCGACCTGGAGCAGATCTCTCTCTCTCTCTTATGTTAATTTCTTCATGAATGATTCATGCGAGGGCAACAAAAAATGGAATATCATCTTAGCACTCACACAAAATCATAGTTATTTTTGGAAGAGAACTTGTAAGAGTTGTAGGTAAAATGCAGACCTATTGTCAAATGACTAATATATGGTGACTGGTGAGTAACTATGAAGGGTAAAGTCTAAAAAAAGAAATCCAAAGAACATTTGGCACAATTCACAAATTTGTTTTTCAATAAATACAGATTACTCCACTAATCTTCTAACATAAATAATGAAAATGATATCCCACTGGTATATGCCATTTAAAATAGGTTCTTTTGTTTTTATTATTGTAAACTCTCAAAGAAACAAAGCATTAGCAAAAGATACTTTTTTGTTTTTTTTTATGCTTCTGGCTTTCATTGTTAATTTTAAGGACATACACAATTGACAATTAAAATTGACATATATGAGTGGTAATATGATGATCATGAGATGTCATAAGCTTGAACCAAACTTGGGATTAAAGAAAACTTTGTATAAGTGACCGACTTTGTGGTGCGCAAGGATCAAAATTTTGTTTCGATACATCATTTCGGTCATTTAGGAAACGGAAACATTTTGACAAATTTTAAAAATGTTTCGATCCATTTTGAAAACATAATGAAACAAAAATAAAAGAATTAAGAATTATTTTTTCAAAATATTGGTTGAAATATACTAAAGTATTTTTAAACACCTCAAAACATTATGAAACACCTTAAAATATTAGAATTTCGACTCTATTATTGATTCGTTTCGATGTCCTTGGAAACAGAAATGTTTCGGACATTTCGAAACGAAATTTTGATATTTGATGGTGCAATATTTTTTGTGGTATAAAATCATAATGAGAAGATATTTTTGGATTGAAAGTGAGTGAACTGACATTTTTGTAGAGGACAACTAAACAAAGAAGGAAAGATGGGATAAGAAATAAATTGATATTCAAGAAGTTGAGTTACATGACATTGGTAATTACACTGGTAGAAGCTCTTTAAGGTGTTTGAATTTGGACCATAGGCTTGTTTTGTGTTGGTAATGGCAAACCATTTAAATTTTGCCTTAATGGTTGGCATGTTGATTCTCCCCTGTGGCACAAATAACCCTATTTTTTGTGTTCATTAGGAATTTAAGATGCTCTAAGTCGAAGTTGTCCTCAGGTGATCGGAGTGGAATTTTGTGTCTCCTTTTTTCTCTTAAGCTTCAAAATGGGAGCTTAACTATTGATTGATTAGGTAGGAGGACACATGAGGAATTTCGTAGTTTGAGTCATTTAGTATTAGATTCTACTGAAATTGTTTATTTTTTTTATTTTTATGTTTAGAGTTTTTTTCATCTACATAATGTGTCACTAGACTTTATCACACTTTTGACTTTCCAGTATCTTACATTTGGATGATTCCAAACAATTATATGCATTGACAGAGCTACATAGGGTCTAGTTGCCCACCTTTAATTTTTTTTCAAAAAATTATATGTATGTCTATATTTATATATTGCTCACCCTCAATTTTTATTAAAAAAAATATATGTATGTCTAAATCTTTTTTACTTCAATTATTTAGTAGTTTTTATTGTTTTAAGACTTTCTACGGGCAACCTAAATATTCATATTTATGAATTTTTAGTTTTGTTTTGTTAATTTGAAAGTGAAAATACTTGCAATTGACATTTAATTGACTTTTATTTTTCTGTGAGAACTCGTCTCTTTTTTTGTTTGACAATTGATTGTAGTGTTTATTATATGTGTTGATTCTAATGTTTATTATATGTGTCAATTGAATTTTAAATTTTTTATTATGTATGGTTCCTAAATTTTAGTTGAATGACTTTACTATTCTAATATCTCAGCGATAATATTTGGAAAAAAGTTTATCGAATAAATGTAATGAAGGTCAATAGATAACCAGTAGCTTTTTAATTACACAATAAAAATTAAGCTCACATTTTTACAATGGTGATACTTAGTCATATGTATCATTTTATTGTGATTGGTTAAGAGGAAAAAAAATTAGAGGATATAATTAAAGTGTTTACCCTAATGAAAATTCCTGGCTCCATCCCTGAATTTATATGTTCTTTAACCAAAAACCTTATTCAATCTGTGACATATTTCTTCGTGGCACTTCTCCTGTCTTTGTGGTTGAGAATTCTTGTAAATAGGAGTCCTACGTTTTATTTCTTTCAGTGTTTGTCAATATTTGTGTATGAGTTTTTAGAGCTTCTCGGTTTCTTTGATCTTAAACAAACTATTTGGTTAGATTAAGCACATATGAATGAAAGGAAATTTTGTATTCGTATGGGTTGCAAATTCATGGGATTTTCATAACAATTGATTTTGTTTTCTCGTTGCTTTCTGGCTTTTGATTTGTAAAGGATCTTTGCATTGGCTGGCTGCCTAATATCTTTTTGATCTAAATGATCCCAAACAAGTATATATTCTTTGAACACTGCCTTTAGTCAATCTGTGACTTTTTTCTTAATGGCACATCTCCTGTCTTTATGGTTCAGATTTCTTTTAGATATGGAGTCCTACATTTTATTTCTTCTAAGTGTTTGCTAATATTTTTATGTATGACATGGTGGAGCTTCTGAATTTCTTTGATCTTAAAGCCAACTCTTTGGTTAGATTAAGGGAAGACGAATTAAAGAAAAAGCTGTGTTCTTATGGGTTTTGATAAGAACTGATTTTCCTTGTTTTTTTCTGGCTTTTGATTTGTGAAGGATCTTCTAAAACTAGAACTTCCACATAAGGGGAATGGATTAGTTGTCTCTTGTACCTGAACGTTTTCATTTTCATGGGGGTACAAATAATTTAGTTAACCCTTGTTTTAAAATATATTATCCAAGAAATATGTTGAGAAAGCTGGGTCAATTTTTTGTTTCCCATATTACCATTTGTTTGACAGTGTTATTTCTTCCTTAACAAACAGTTATTGTCAGCTCACATATATCGCTTTATTTTGATCAAATTCTTCTTAATTAAGCCACCATTATTGCTATGTCTTTTTTACTGACAACACCACCTCACCTCTAGTGTTGCTAATACTTCCACTACATGGTAATCGACTACAGCTATCAGTGTCCTGGATGCTGCCAATCTATTGCAAAAGCAACCTTGTGATAGTCAGGTTATTCTATTACACTTCAGTCTTCAGCTATTGTGAAAACGTAAGAAGGTTAGGAGAGAAGCAAAACATCTCAGTATAAATCTCCCTTGTACGTATGGTATACCTTCCATGTGTCTGTGTTTTCTTGTGCGAATGACCATACGAGAGAGAGAGAGAGGGAGGAGGGGGGGGTAGTTGAAAGAAATCAAAATAGTTCCTTATAACATGTTCCAAGTGTTTATGTACCTTATGGCACGTGGGACTTTTTTTTTTTTGGGCGGGGGGGGGGGGGGGGAATATGCTTTCTGTATCTCGTTGGCCAATGCATCATTTTCTTCTTCTTATTCTAAGTGATGATTTCCTTCCACGTTCCAATGCATATCTCCACTTGTCACTGCTTTTGCTTTAGCTATAAACTATCTTCCTTTGAAGGTTGATGTTGATGTTGACTGCTGATCATTGATTTGCTAATGTTTTGGGCAGTGTCTACAGAACAAAATACAACTAGCCATGATGATTTTGGCAATAATGATGATTTGTCATTGCTTGAAGTTAGCGATAAGTTCCTGGAGCATATCCTTCGGAAGATTGAAACAATAGACTCTCGAGTTCACAAGTTGAAGGCTCAGCTTGACCTGGTAATGTCGAAAAATGCTGGAAAGTTCTCTTCGTCTGAGAATTTGAGCCATCTAGTACCCTGTGATGCACAGACAAGCTCTGTCCATAGCCCCACTTTCTCTGCCAATGCTGATACACTGTCGGTGGGAGGTTTATACACTGCAGTTCAGCATGTACCAGAGTATGATATGGGAGAATTGGTTATGCCTGAAACTGCAGTTTCAAGCTATGGAGATGCTTTTTGTATTCCGGATATAACTGAAAGCACTGCAGGATTCTTGTCCTCTGTTGCTGTCACCCAGCATCAACCACAAATTGGAGATTCATGTGAAAATGTAAGCCATCTTTGTCTCTACTGAAATTATGAAATTTATGTATTCAATAATTTGGTAAGGTTTAATCAGATTTTTTTTCGATAATCAACAAAAGCTTTTCATTGATAATGAAAAATTTTACTGAGGGATGAGAAGTCCTTCACTAATACATAAATTAAAATAAGCATAAGTAAACATAAGTACTAAAGCAAAAAAATACAATCTGCAAATAGCTTTCCAATCTGCCCTAATTGAGGATAATGGTATTCCAAAACATAGTTGTTAGTACCGTACGATACGTTACTATATAAGCCTAAAACGATACGGATCGTAGTTATATATCGTTTTTGCGTTGTATCGTCCGATACACGATACGTTTTTGCGATACGATACGCACGATACGTGCAATTTTTTTTTTTTTTTAAAACGACGTCGTTTTTGCGCTCTGATTTTATTTTTTTAATCCCTATAACCACTGAAACGACGTCGTTTCAGTGGTTAGGGTTACAAAAAAAAAAATCCCTCATTTCTCTCATATTCGGCCTTCGCTCATCGCTGGTCTGAGAATTAGAGGTCTCTGGTTTCTCTTCAGCCATCGACGACGAATGATCGACTGTGGGTGGTGATCACTATGGGTGGTCTTCGACTGTGTGGGGGGTCTTCGACTGTGGGTGGTGATCAATTGTGGGTGGTGATTGATTGTGGGTGGTCTTCGACTATGGGTGATTGCTGGTCCTCGTCTGTGGGTGATTGCTTGTAACGCCCCAAAAACCCCCGTGGGTGACATTACATTCTAAAAACCATTTACCGTATGAGAGCATTAAGTAAAATTTATCACGACGAAAGTTTCATTCATCAACCATTCATATTTTAACAAAATTTGGACAGAGTCTCCTTTGTACGGGGAGCTCTACCCAAAACACAACCTGTACAATTATATTACAATTGACCACACCGGGTCCACATATGCATAATTATTGACCACATCGGATCCATTTTTCGATCATAAAATAAACTTGTATTCATCATATGTCATATCCACACTATCATCCCAAATTAATAGGTCTAATCTTGGCCTTTACATCTCCAAAATGTAATAATATAACGCAGCGGAAATAACAGAAATAAACTAGAGTTCAAAAGGATATTCTAAGCATAATCTAGTCTAGAACAAAATAAAAGTGTCGCTCTAAGCGTCCACCTCGGGATCCACATCCCGTCAAGCGGAGTCTTCCAATGGGTGGGCTCCTCGGCTCCTAACTCCTCCTCAAGTGTGAAATCTGAAAAATTTTTATTTGTAGGGGGTGAGCACGAAGCTCTGTAGCAAAATCCTCTCAACTCAAACAAGGTTTGAAAAACATAGCAAACGGTCGGTCTCATTTCACAACTAACATATATATATGTTTGGAATGAAAACAGTGACATTTTAAAAGAGATCTCAAGTTTAAACAATAGCAATAATCAGTTAAAAGAATAAAGTGAGTTTAGCATCGATAAACAAAATTCTAATTTAAGCTATTTAAGAAGGGCTTCTCCCTAAGCATTGTCCCATACCAATGCATCGGCAAGAACGACCCAACTCCCGATTCCATGTATTTTTGGTTCATCCCCGTACTATGTATGTTGATTGCTTCTCGTGAATCTACCTAACGATCATGCCTAGTCCACCAATTCCAACCAACAATCACAAATCTCTTTAGGAAGGGCGTGTACCGTCTCTTACGGCATTGACGAAATCCTCTCAAGGTGTCTAGTATACTAACCCTTTTACTCGGTGTATATGTGAACAATAGTGATCGCGAGCATAACAACGATCCACTACGAGCATTAGGCAACCATCTCACCCCCCATTGGGATAGACTAACCTCTAACACTCTATGACATCTCTCGAAGGTAATCCAAGTCCATCACAACAACCATACAATGAGGAAATCAAGAATATTCACAATTCACAACAATTTCCCAAATATAGTAAAATCCCCAATTTTGTTTTCACATTTGTCATATAATCGAATAATCCAAGAAAATATGCAAGAGATCGTAATCTATATCATTTTGTTATACAATATTCAACACTAAAGTTTTACAATCAAAGACAAAGAAGAAATTAGGAGAAAATCCCCTTTTCTTAAAAACTAGGGCTTTGAAGATAAAAAAAAATCAATAGAGCTTTGGTGGTTACCCACCCTTCATATTATTCAAAACATGACATTTATTACAAATAGAACAAGAATCATGTATTTCATATTATATATATGAGAAGGAGAGTGAAGAAACATATATCTATATACATATATATATCTATAGATATATATCTAGCCTCAATGTGAGAGATTGAGAGAAAATCCCCTACCTTAAATCAAGATTCCAAACTAAGACCCAAGCTTCAAGACCTTCTTGCTCACCTTTCTTTTCCTCTTAATCTTCTCCTCCTAGGGTTTCAAAAGATTTGGGTGAGAGGGTAGCAAGAATGGAAGAAAATGGGAGGAGAATGTATTCTTGAAGAATTTGAAGTTTTGATTTCTACAAGGTATAAATCCCTCTTGATTGGTATTTCTATCTTCCTCTCTTCCTCTAAAATGGTTCCTAGGGTTTGGAGGGGTGAAATGAATGCTAAAGGGACGACATTAGGTTTTTATAGGGCAAGAAAATCGAGCAAAACCCGATATTTTCTGTTCAGAAAAAATTGGGTTTCCTTCGTACTGTTCACAGATTTTTGGTGCGACTTCCAGGTCAGTTTTGACCCATTTAGAGGTCGAATTAGAAATTTTTCATGAAATACACTTTTGTAGCCCTAGATGTCTACTATTTCCTGTCAAAATTTCAGATCAATTGGACATCAAAATATAAAGTTATGATCAAAATACTAAGCAGTGTCTATCACCCCTTTTTACCTAATTTCACTCTAATTTGGTTTTACTTCTAAAATACTTCCTAACTTCTAATATATCCCATATTACCTCTCCCAATGTTTTCCGACCTCATTCAATGGTAACGTTATTTTGATAAAAAAAAAAATTAATATATTTATTTAGTTACCTTTATCAATCTTAAACACATCCAAAAAAAAAATTAAGTTTGACCCAAAAGTCAATCCGTTCGAAACTCAAACTTCATGATTAATATTTCAACAATGATTCTAAGTTTTTATCCTCATTTTATTCATATTTGGAAAACTCTTAAGATATTAGTATTCTTATTTAATTTTAGTACAGGGTCTTACATTGCTGGTCTCCGACTATGGGTGATCGTTGATCGCTGCCTTCTTCCTTCTCCAAGTACTCCTTTTTCTTCTTCTTCTTCCTAGTTTCCATTGATCGTTGGTCCTGTGCAGTAAGAAATGATGTTAATTTATTTACAAAGCCAAATGTATATATATTTTTTTTGTATAAAAATTTCTGAATCTTGATTAATTTTAATTTTGTGAAATAGTGGCATCACCTGCATCCAATTTTTATATAGAAATGACTAAAAAACTTGCTAATGATCCCACATGGGAACATTGTGACATAGTAGAAGGATCAAGGTTGAAATTGAAATGCATTCATTGTGCACATATCTATTGGGGAGGCATTTCAATAATGAAAAATCATTTGACAGGTAATCGCAAAGATGTAATAGCGTGTAAGCATTGCCTTGGGGAAGTCACTGAATTTTTTAAGCAATTATTGGATGATATGACAATTAGCAAAGATATGAGTCTTGTGGATTCGAAAAGTAGTGGCAGTGTGGGTAGTACTACTGCTGATAAAATACAACCAACCACCACAATTATTTTGAATACCATGTTGAAGAAAAAGGGTAGGGAAGATGTATGCTTGGATATTTGTAGATGTTTTTATGCTAATGTCCTTCCTTTTAATTTGGTAAAAGATCCATATTTTGTAAGAATGTTAGAATCTGTTGCATTGTTTGGCAAGGGATTGAAACCTCCATCGTATCATGATGTGAGATGTTCTTTTTTGACAAAAAGAAACAGATTTGATTAATGGTGGGTTGATGAAAAATTATAAAGCAGAGTGGAGAAAGACGGGTTGTATTCTTATGTCTGATGGATGGACTGATGGGAAACATCGCCCTATCACTAATTTTTTAGTGAATAGTCCTAGAGGAAGTGTGTTTCTTAAAAGTATTGATACTTCAGGCATTTGTAAGAATGCGGATAATCTTTTTGAGCTTTTAGATTCAATGGTAGAAGAGATTGGTGAGGATAATGTTGTTCAGGTTGTAACTGATAGTGCATCGGCTTATGTAAAAGCTGGGGAGTTGTTAATGGCAAAGAGGAAAAAGTTGTTTTGGTCTCCCTGCGCTGCACATTGTCTAGATCTCATTTTGACGGATATTGGGGACCTTCCTCTACACAAGGATATAATATCAAAGGCAAGGAAAATCATAGTTTACATTTATAGACATTCTTGGGTGTTAAATCTTATGAGGAAGTATACAAAGAAAAGGGATTTAGTGAGAGTTTGTGTGATCAGATTTGCCACCTCATATTTAACTTTAAGCAGTTTATTTGAAAATAAAATTGGGTTTAGAGCAATGTTTGCTTCTGAAGAATGGCAGAGAAGTCAATATTGTAAGAAGGGAGATGGTGTAAAAGTGATGGATATTATAGTAGTGGACCAAAATTTTTGGGGGATCAATCAAGTATTGCTTGAAGTGTGTGTTGCCATTGGTGAAGGTGTTGAGACTTGTAGATGGAGATCTAAAGCCTACCATGGGGTATATTTACGAGGCAATAGACAAGGCAAAGGAACAAATCCAAAAGAATTTTCGTAATGTGAAGAAGCACTATGAGCCCATTTGGACTATTGTTGACACTAGATGGAAAATGCAATTACACAGACCTCTTCATGCAGCTGCCTATTATCTCAATCCCGCGTAAGATTTAATTTTCTCAATTTTTATATCATTTTATATCTATATATTGTATACTGATCAATGATTATTGTAAATCAAAATAACTATTTCAGGTTTCATTACACCGGTTGTGCGGACTATGAGATAAAGGTGGGACTTTATCAGACTATTCAGAGAATGTG